ATATTGTTATTATTTACGATGTTTTACATTAGTATGAGTTTCCACGGAGCACAGTGCCTTAGTGCTCACTCCCCAGTTTTATCATGTTTTTCAGGTCAGGATGTCAGGCAGAGAGCGTGACGTGACGGGGCATGTCGGGACTTGCAGGATATTTATACATATGTTTTGGACTGTATAACTATGATTTACGCTTCCGCTTATCTTTTGATAACTCATGATGATGTTTTGACATGTTTTGACGAACTTTTCAGAAAACACAGTTTTTCAGTAACCAGACGTTTTTATTAAATTAAAACAACGGTTTTTCTAAGTTAAGTAAGGATTTTTCACGGTAGCACCCCAAAACAGTTTCGCAAAGTAAAAATGTTTTAGTTTTCAAAGACTTTGCGAATAATTGCGCAACTCTGATTTATCTAGTAAGGTGGGGTGTTACATTTGAGTTCAAATAATGTAGTCTAAAAAAAATGAAAATTGCACACCAATCTCATTAACGTTTTACACTAAAAAAAACATTCATTACATAATTATTTTGAATTGGCGTAATCCACCTTAAATTTAGCCAATTCGTCTGCGTACCGCTGCGCCAACACAGGATCATAACCTGTAAAATCTCGCAAGGAGTTCGGAAAAAGGCTGGCAATACAGTCCACCCACTACAAAAAATGGAAGGAAAAAAAAAAGATATGATAAATATTCATAAAAAAATAAAATTATTGTAATCAAATAACAACTACAATTTAGCATGAGACTTACATAGTCGTTGTTGGCACGCGTAGGGACCTCGTTCTGGTCCGGCAGATTCTCGCCCAAAAATTGAGGATGGAAAACCCGACGGTACCACTGCATGTACTCTGCAGTCGCCTCTGCTCGATCATCTGTGCTGACCTTATACATACTGGAGCTGGCGGTATGCGATACCGGGAACTGGTTCCACATAGATACTGCAGTGACATCAGAATGCTCAACCTTGTAGAGCCTCGACTCCCAAGGACGGTTGACACTGATTGGCGTGAACATAGGGGGAGGGACTGTCTGGATATACCCCAACTGCCGCAGAAACCGCACAGGAAAGTACGGCTCGACGATATCGCAATACCGAATTAACCCGCAATAAAGAGTCCTCGGCTCTATCTCATGTGGGCTAGAGGTGCCGTATGACAACCATTGCACTTGTTCACAATTGCATAAAAGCATTTATAAAACATATTTATATTATTTTAAATAACGAGTAACTAAATTTAAATAAAATAACTTTACGTACATCGGTGGCAGTGAGCATGTCAAGTCTCCGACGGATGGCTATGAGACGCTCGTCCTTCCTCTGACCCGTCGGTGGGCTCCACATCTTAGATCGTGCGGAGTCGTTAGGAGCGAGAGGTAGACGCCCCCCTCCCATCCCCGAGGTAGAAAATCGGGGAAATACTCGTAAATCCAAGACTGCATAAGAGTCAAGCCGGAAAGCTGTCTTGAGTCCCCTCTGCTGGCAATACCTAACTGTCGGTACAAATATGCCAGCGTAGCCCATCCCAATGAGTAACCCCCAATGGAATCCACGGCGTTAAGCACCTCCGCTAGGAGCTTGGGAGTCACTCTACTACCACTCTTGTCGCCGAACAAGGTGGTAGACAGCAGCAACCAAATCAATGCATAAGCCTCATCCAACGCCAAATGGTCTTTACCCCTGAATTTCTCCACAACGGAGCCTTCTCCCACAAAACCACGCTGCTAGAACGACCCAACGAGGTCAGCCTTACTGACCGAAAGTATATCCATGCATTAAGTCTGGCAGGCCCTTGTATCTGGCTCCTCAACGACCATGACTCCTTCACCAGGAATGTCCAAAATGGCCCGGACATCGTGCAGCATAATGCTCATTTCACCAAAAGGCAGGTGAAACGAGTTAGTATTCGGTTGCCATCGCTCCACAAATGCAGTAAGCAATTGAGTGTCCAAGTGGGCGTGCATGGAGTCTGCCAGATGTTACAGTCCGGTATCCTTGATCATATCAAGTGTCTTGGAAGACATATCACCCTGCTAATCTTTTAAGTTACCAAACGCTTGCACTCCGTTATGGCATTTCAGTAAGCCTCGGCACTCTTCATTCCACAACCGGGAGGCTATGTGCCCTAGAAAGCTAGGGATCACACTGTCATCCATGGGCCCTCCGGCCACTGGACCTCTAACGATCCAGTTTGCCTCACGATCAGTCCTAGATCGTTTGCTAGTACCTGCATTAGAATAGAACATAATGTCACTAACAATACCGATAAATTGTTATAATTAAGTCAAAATATTTAATGTCAAACAACAATAAATACGTAAATTATTTGCCTGAGGATCCAGTGTTAGCAATGTTTGGTTAAATAAGTTCCACGTTCTGTTGTTTTGCATGTAGATAAGTGGGTCGTCATCGGGCGTACCGAAGATCACTATATCAGTTACTTGCGAAACAAGAATCGTTGGTTCACAACCTAGATGGAATTGAACAACCCATCGGAACGGTTGTAGTGTCAACCGTACGGTTTGTCTTGACCGATTAGTTGCACTAGTACATTTATGTATTGAACAGGATTCCAGAGAGGGATGTTCGTTTTACACTAATCGTCGTAAACGAACTAGGCCTCAGTTAATTATTGCGTGTTCTTAACCCGTAAGATATTAAA